TTCACTTTTTTTCTTCGATTCGTACGTAGTACGTTAGGGTCCTTTAACAAACTTTTGGTTTTCCTAGAGTTTTGTCTGGTTTTGTCTGTTACAAGATTATAGTTTAGGTTTAAATTATTAAGATTTTGTGTAATTATTTCTGCCAGTATTACTTTAATTACAGATATAATTATTTTTTCACATTAATTTTTTTTGCTCGTAGAATCGTAGAAAATTTTGATAATTTTCGATTAACCAATAAAACTTTTACAATATCACGGGATGATTTACAAAAATCGGCCAATCACAATCACTCAAGCGTAATTTTAAAACACTAATTTTTTTTCAAAGATAAACAATGAAACATCCCGCAAACCATAGAATAATCAAGGAGCAAAGTCAAGGGTCCGAATCAGATAAGGTAGCGTATTTTTTGAGTAGGAGAAGCAAAATCCCTTCTTTTTGGCTTGCCTTTTGTGAATCCTCCCTGGCTCTTTGTTTCGGTACTGTGAAAGGGTGTATCTTGGAACAATGCTGCAAAGGTGATTTCATTTTGTACTATAGCGTTGCTTTATAGAACTATAAGGATAGTTGTATGGCCGGTTTGCTTCCGCAAAAGGGTTCACAATCCAATTGCATACTTTGAGGAACCCTTCTTTTGGATTTCTTTTGTGAGTTCTCCCAAGCTACTTTGTTTTGATACAGTAAAGGGCTGTATGGAACGACAATGATGCAAGGGTGATTACTAGCGACCATACAACTCAGAGAACTGGAAGCGCATCGTGGCCGCAGGATTACCTGTGAACGTCCTTCTCTACTTTGTAGCCTATTTGGCAAGCATAGCACTAAGTGCAACCATCGAAGGAATAACAATCCAAATGAAATTTATAAGGTCCACGACTTTGAAAGAGAAATCGGGTGGCACCTTATTCCTCTTAAGAATATTACTTAATGAACATAGTCATTAATACTCTATTTAATTTTTTATTTATATGGTGCACCAACTTTATGTAGATTATCTATAATAAATTAGGTGCAAATGTTATAGGTGATTTTGATGGGAAGTTACTTGGGCACCATATATTTAGGAAAAAGGCGAACTATTATCAACTATCAGTAAGCATCTAGACCTATAGGAATGTCAAAGAGAATCCCGTAAATCCGATTTTGAATTTATCTTATAGAATCTAATCTCCTAACATTATGATATTTTATTTTATTAATATGACTATCGGTATACAATCAACAAGAATCAATGCTAATATACGTTTATGATTGAAATATTATTGTTTGATCTTCCAAGTATAAAAACGAAAGCGACTATAGAAAACTTATTACTATTTGATGAATATGAATTATCTAATATAGTATTAGTCGTAATGCATTTTATAATATTTTATAAGCATCTTTTGTTTAATAGCAGACAAATAAAGTGAGTTACTATTTCCATAATACGTACCATCTAAATGCTAATCAGCAAGATACTTTATGCATAATCGAAAGCATATATACTCGACTCCAATAAAAATGTAAATCATTCAAGGTCCGAAGAACTAATCAGATAATGTTCTTTTATATTACACCTGATCTAGCCAATCAAAAGCTATAATTTGCGAACTCATAGACATCGGGTACTTTGTCTTTACAGTAAATGTCCTTCAGACAATAATTAACCTAATTTTATCAGCACATCAGCACTCATAATACTTGATACGTAACTTGAATTAGACTACATTTGATTTTATTTCAAAAAAGAAACGCATTTATATATAATCGCTACACTTAATCCTCTTAGCATAACCATCAAAATCATCAATTAAACACTATCAATCAGAGGAAATGTCCCCTAATTTTGCGTGTAACATCATTTATTATAAGATCGACAATGCATTTTCATAAGAAAAAAAGTCAAAATGCAACTTTCACCTATATGCTAACCCAACGATATCATAAGTTATTATATCTTTATGTCATAATGTTTATGAATCGCCAGATTCCTCTCTTTATGATAATAAGCTTAATTTATTCAACGGATTTAAAACCGAAAACAATCTTTCAAAAAAGCAAATTAAATTTTACTTTAAATATAGTACATGTATACCGTTTAATCTTAGAATATCGAAGACAAAAAATGTATTTAAAGTACAAAAAGATAAAATAAACTTGGGCATTGTTATAAGAACAAGATTAGAAGAGCAAAAAGAGAAATAAAAGGTCTAATTGGTACGAAAAATGTTTTTTTAATTATAAAATTTAATTTTATTCAATTATTTGCATTCTTAAAGTAATAGATAATGATAGTTTCAATTCTATATAGACTATTTATTTATTTTTTTATTGTTTTTATTTGTTGTTATATTTTGTTATAGGTTTGAAGTTGGTGTAAAATTTAGCTGTAAGAAAATTTGATCGTTCTTTTGAAATTGTGAAACTTTTATTCAGGTTGCATGAGTGTAAGCAACTAGGCTCAAATACTATCTAAATTTGCTGATATTGTAATTTCTTGAGTATAGATACCATGATGACGATTATAGTTGTTAGGCAAAACCCAAAAAAGGAAATTATAACAATGAACTTCATTGTTATAATTTCCTTTTTTGGGTTTTGCCTAACAACTATAATGATGATAGATATTTTTCTTGTTCAAGAAGTAAAGAGCTATATGGAACTTCATATACTACTAGTGATATAGTGTATTTTTATTGTAATTAGGACAACTAGAATTCAAGTATTACCTGAAATTTGATGATATTGGCAATTTCTTGAGTGCAATTATCATAGTAATGATGGATATTCTTTTACTTGGAAAGTGGTAACTTATATGGATCTTTATACAGTCGATCCCTGTTAATATCAACCTTATTAATATCAACCTAAGCTACAAATCAAATTTTTATAAATTTTTATATATTAAAATTTTCTTATATATGTTGTGCCTCATATTGGTTCTTGCCTCAGGTAACAACTGAGCACCTCAGGTGTCGATCATCATATGAGGTGCGTAACATGTCGATCAGTTACCTGAGGTACCTCAGTCGTCACCTGAGGCAAGATGATTTGCATAAAAAAAAATTCGGACATTAAATATTTATTTGTAATACTTACTTGGAAAATAATGCGATTTCTATATTAGTAATTGTTTTATTATGCAATAATTAAATAAATCTAAAGCACAGTAAAATTGAATAAAAAAGAAGTTGTGAGCTCAGCAAACTGATTTTTTCTTCTCTCCAAATAAAATTTACATACTTCATTGTGTTATCATATTATGCTCTAAGAATTATTCTATCAAAAGTTGTTATATTAACGTGACTATATACATATTTTCAACACCTTCAAAAATGGAATATAATTTTATTAGTAGAAGTACCCTTAATAAGATTCTTGAAAATTATGTTTCTAATCTTCCAGAATCAAAACGTGAAAAGGCTTTAATTAACTGTGAATTATACAATAAAATAAAACATATTTTACTAGATCCTCAAAATACCTCACTTTACAATAAAAATATGAAAGTCTGGGCCAAAAAACAGTTCTGACTTGAGAAAATAGTTTCTGATAACTATAGGATTATTGTAAAGGTGACCAATAATCCAGTGATGATTACTGAAAATATGTATGAGACACTTTGTCAAGTTCACAGTCAAATAACTCAATACAGAGGTCAAAAACAAATCTGAAAAACTATAAGAGAAAGATGGGGCTGGGTGAAACAAGACATCATTGAACAATTTATCAATAATTGTACTATATGTGCTGTTCGCAAACCAACATTTCATCCTTTAGCCACCAAGCCAATCATCACAAAAAATTTTTTGTTCTGTGTTCAAGTAGCATATTTTATTTGCTTTATTTTATTTATTTTTTTTTCACAATTGGATGTCCTCAAGCACTTTATTTTATTTGTTTTATTTATTACTCTTATCTTTTTTTTTCCAGATTAATCTAATAGACATGACCTTTAATTCAGACAGAGAGTTTAAATACATATGCCATGTGCGTAATCACTTTTCGTGATTTTCTTGGACAAAAGCTCTTACCTCTAAAAGAGCAGTTGAAGTGGCGGCCTACCTGTTCGATCTTTTCCATTTAATAGGATCATCTCCTATAATACTTCAGTCAGACAATAGAAAAGAATTTTGTATAAAAATTATTAAAGAATTAATGGAATTATGGCCATCAGCAAAAAACATAAATGGGTGCCCTAGGCATCCTCAGTCCCAAGGACTTGTAGAACAGACAAACGGAATATTGGAACATAAAATAGGCAAATGGAAGGAAGAAACAGATTGTGATAACTGGTCATTCGGCTTGCGATTTGTTATCATTGCTATGAACACCTCATGGTGTCAAGCACATAAGAAGACCTCTTACGAACTTGTTTATAGAGGTAAACCCTGCAGAAATTGTACATTAGTCAATGATTTGTTTGAAAGGAATATTCATGATGATGAAGAAATTCCGAGTACTATTGATATTCAGAGTGATTCTATTATGGATTTGGATAATGACATAAATAGTAAGGTTTTATATAATTGCTATAATTTTTGATTCTATAATTATTTATTAATTTTTTATGACCAATGTATAGAATCACTATCTGAGGAACTGGACAACACAGGTAAATTTAAATTCATAACAATTTATCTTGTTAAATTTTTTTCATTAATAGCATTCACAATTTTTTAGACAATAACTCTGATGTTTTGCACCAATATGGCAATAATACTTTGGGCACTTAGCATTTGTTATGATCTCAATAATTTTATTACATTATTAACTTAAATTTTATAATTTTTAGAAAGAAACTCCGAGTCAAATAATGATAATTATACATGGGATAAATTAATATTTTTTTATATTCTCTCTCTCTTTTCTAATTTATTAACTTGCATTCTAAATTTGTAAATAAAATCCCTGAACTTTTATACTATCAAGAAGATAGTGGTGATAATACTTTGAGTAAGTTAATATATTTTACAATATTTTATTCTTATTACTGCTAACTTATATTTTAATAGATGAAAGCGTAAGGCCTTCATATCATTGATATGATGCTTATATTTTGGGTAAGTTTATATTTAATATGATCTATTCATACTATTTTTGCTGTTAGCTTACATTTTAGATTCGTAGGTAAAAGCCCAGAGCAACAAATAAACAGTGGTGACAATACTTTAGGTAGTTCAAAAGTTTACAATTGGTACAATTTATCTTATTACTTACTGTTAACTTATATTTAAATTTATAGATAAAAACTCAGAACTACATAATTAATTAGTTTGTAATAATAATATTTCAGATAATTAGTTTAATACAGTTTAATTTATTACAGTATCATTTACTAATATCACTATTTTTAGATATAAGCTCAGAAACTTTGCAATGGCAACTCGGTGGCTCTATCACTATGAGTAAGTTCAGATTATTAATTAGTTTAGTACAGTTCAATTTCATTTACTAATATTCCTATTCTTAGATACAAGCTCAGAAACTTCACAACAGCAACTGGACAATAGTAGTGGCTCTATTGCTATAAGTAAGTTCATATTACTAATTAGTTTAATACAGTTTAATTTTATTAGTGTCATTTAATAATATTTCTATTTTTAGATACAAGCTCAGTACCTTCGCAATGGCAACTGGACAATATCGGTGGCTCTACGAGTAAGTTCATACTACTAATTAGTTTAATAAGTTCAATTTTATTACAGTGTTATTTATTAATATTCCTATTCTTAGATACAAGCTCAGTACTTTTGCAACGGCAATTGGATAATAGTGGCAGCTCTATAAGTCAGTCATATTACTATATATTTATTTTTATTTTTTATTTGTTTTATTTTTTTTACAAACCTAAATGTTTATTTTTAGATGAAAGTTTGAAATCTTTACGTTTGCGATTGAATAATGGTAGTGAACCTTTGGGTAAGTTCATATTACTACATATAATTTTTGTTTTTTTTTTTTTTGTTTACAAAAAATTTTATTTTTTAGATGAAATCTCGGAATTCTTACGTTTGCGATTGGATAAAGGTGGAGACGGATCTTTGAGTAAGTTCATATTACTACATTGATATCTTTTTTTTTTTTTTTTTTACAAACTTAAAAATCCTTTATTTTCAGATGAAAGCTTAGAACCTTCACATTTATGATTAGATAAAAGTAGCGGATCTTTAAGTAAGTTCATATTATTTTATTTTTATTTTTATAAGCCCCACAATGGTATTTAAAAAATTATGGTGGCAAGTTCTTATCACTGTTTTTCCTTTTTACTTAGTTAATTTATATTACTTATGTTCCTATTCTTAGGTAAAAACCTACACTGAAAGCCAGATGGTAAGCAAATTAATTTTTTTTTTCTATATCAATATTAATATTTAACTTAAATAATTTAAATATTTCTATTTCTATTCTTAAAAAAAAGCCCATGCTGGCAGCTGGATAATAGTAGTAGCATTTTAGACAAGTTCATTACTGTGTTACATATTTATTTTTATTTTTTTACTAATTTATATTTCTATTTTGGGTAAAATTCCAGAA